TGTCAAACATCCAAACATACTATCCACATTCATCTGTGTCCACACTTGTTCCTTTAAGAAATTAGATTATTTACTGACGTTGTATGTGTCTTCTCGATATGATCTCTTTCACGATCCAATCGCAATACTTGACCACCGTTAATTAATCTCAACGGGAGGGTTTCTTATCGTCGAGTTGCAAGTTGCGAGTTAAGAAAGTCGAGTTGCGAGTTAAGAAAGTCGAGTTGCGAGTTACGAAGGTCGAGTTGCGAGTTACGACGGTCGAGTTGCGAGTTAGGAAGGTCGAGTTGCGAGTTACGACGGTCGAGTTGCGAGTTACGAAGGTCGAGTTGCGAGTTACGAAGGTCGAGTTGCGAGCTACGACGGTCGAGTTGCGAGTTTCGAAATTCGAGTTGCGAGTTACAAAAATATTATGTTTCTCTAATTTCTTCAGAATTATATATATAAACGGTCGTATATATAAACAGGTTTGCTTCGCATTTAATAAACAAAGCAAACATGTACCCGAACTTTGTTATACACTGCATGAGGAAGGGTCCCGGTATTTTGATTGCAGGATTTAAAAGAGTTATGTGATACTTATTTATATAGTCTATATGTTGCAAAGTCACGCACGCTTAAATTTCTTTCATGAAAGCGACATTGTTCATTTTCTAAAAAAAAACAGGATATAATGTAGAAATAAGATAAAATGTATACCGTACTGAACAAATCAAGCATAAGAAAATAAATCATGTAGACAAATGAAATATACTTGCAAATTATCGACATCTCACAGAATATGGCACTGTATTAGGCTTAAAGTAAATACTTATCAAAGGTACCAGGCTTATACTTATCAAAGGTACCAGGCTTATAATATTTTCTACGCCAGACGCGCGTTTCGTCTATACAAAACTCATCAGTGACGTTTGAATAAAGGATATTCATTAGCATACCAAGTGCTAACTCTTCGTCTTTCACAAAGGTTTAGGGTGATATATGCACAATTGCACATTTAACTTCGGAAAATATTTCATGAATTAGTCAGAAATGTGATATGTTATGTGCTTTATGTGATAAATTAAATAGTTTTGAACTTTGTTAACTTTGTGATTCAACCCCAAGCGGAGAGTGCATATATATACCAAATAGTTAATAATCAAGTTGTTCAATGCATGTATATCTGAATACTACAACGCAAGCATTCTATAGATGTCTTTCTATGGCATTATGGTTACTTCCTGGCATAGATCATAGTATGATATTTTTTTTAATTTGGAAAGACGTTATTCTACAATAAGCTATACTGCTGTTACAAAAAAATAAAAGGAACAGTTTTAAGAAATGTTATGGCGTGTGTTTTTACGGTATGAGCACGGAAGCCTTGTCTGTCACAAGTTTACTTTTTACCTGCATGCAGCCTTGATACAAATGTTGTAGTTTCAGATATCAGCTGGGTATTGTACATTTTTCTAAAAAAAAAAGTGCTTCCTTTTCATTTGAATATCATGCATAGCCTGTCACGAGAGCACCTGAAAAAGTTTTACCCGGGTAAGTATGGCATCAAGTTGTACTTACAGGCATCTGCCACCCATATTTTGGAGAGGCGTAGGTTTTTTTTTAAAGAATTGTTTGATTCTGAATTACTTGAGAAAAAAATGTCTAGAATGGAAGTGAATAAATTTAAAGATTATTTCTATTGAAAATTAGGAAAAAATATATTGACATTAAGTTTCTAATAAATTGTTCGGATTTTAATGAAATCAAAACACATTTGGTGACTGGAAATATTTGAAAAAAATGTACCCTTAAAGGACGCATGCACCTCAAAAAAATTAATTAGATAGCCATTGTGAATTATATAAAAAAAAACGTGTATTATATACTGAGTACTGGGCACTTCATCACTTAATTGATAGGGAGTGCTGCTGGGGTTCTGTTACCCTACCCTTTTCATATATTTTAGATTTTAAAAATGTATACCTTTTCATATATTGCGTATAGGTAAAAATGTTACCTTTTACCATATTGTTTGGGTTTCATGTGGTATGTAATGTAAAAGTGGAATACCAAAGTGCCAAAAGTGAGAAAATTAGTTGATAAAAACACAGCCAGAAACACCAAGAAAGATGACAGACGAAGAAGTTTTGGGTACTTTATTGACCTTATCATATATTTCTGATAGTTTACCCGACCTAGTCACATATTTTCAAGCTTGAAGTTACTAATTAACTTTCAGACAGGCATAAAAACACTCTCAGGAAATTTGGAATTACCATGTAAGATAATGAATGCTCTCTGTGGTAAATAAGTAAATACAATAATTTTCCCTGGAAAATCATGTGCTAATTTAACCAAACTGAAACCTATATTAGTGTGTATGATGGTATGGTAACATAGATTATTATTATTTTCAATTCTCCTCAAAATAGAGACCATAAACAAAAAGAACCAATCAAATTGTCCTCTTGGTTAACTACTGAGAGCTGGTTCACAGCGAATCACAACCAATCACAGTGTTATTACCATTGTATCATCTTTTTGTCTCGAATATGGAACAACAAAAGAGACATTGTCAATTTGTAAATCATGAGCAACACGATTCGTTCCACATGGTGAACCAAAATATACATATCCTTCCAAAGCAATTTAAATCAGATTATGATGGGTTTGTGATATTGCCTTTTGTGAACAGCGGTTTGTCTTGTATTTTTTCGTGGTTTAATTTGGACATGGATTTGTCACTTTGTCTTTGACCAAAGAGTTTTAAATCTTCCTTTCGGTATGTTCCGCCTTTCTTTTATAGTATAATGCATAACTCAGGATTTAGGGTTGCTGTCTACATGAAGGCTACTAAACTAAGGGTTTCCAGTGGCATAATTTAAGATAACACGTAGGAAAAACTGTCTCCAAATACCAAATTGCCTTAAACCACAGCGTCGTCGTCTCCGCCGAATGTGATACCATCGGATAACTCATCACGGAATACATTCTTTTATAAGCCATACGACAGGTGTCCCGTGTGGAGTAGTTTATGATTTGCCTTTCGGGAGCACCTTGATTTTAACTCGGTTTTTGGTTTGTAAAATGTTGATAAGTCTAGTTGTCTCGCCTGCGACTTCTGTCGCAGAAAGCGATCTAGACTTGTGGTTAGTGATCCGGCGGCGGCGACGTTAGCTCTTGACTTAAAAGCTTAGTATTTCAGAAGGTAGAAGACCTAGATGCTTCATACTTTGTATATAGATTAGATGCCTTATCTAACGAACTATCCGTCTGTCATATGACCAATGGCCTTGACCTCATTCTCATGGTTCAGAGACTACTTGAAAAAAAAGTTAAGATTTTTTGTTATGTTAATTTCTCTCTTATTATAAGTAATAGGATAACTATATTTGGTATGTGCGTACCTTGCAAGGTCCCCATGCCTGTAAGACAATTTTCACTTGACCTTGACCTCATTTCATGGATCAGTGAATAAAGTTAAGTTTTCTTGGTCAAGTCCATATCACAGATACTATAAGCAATAGGTCTTCTATATATTTGATATATGGAATGACTGGCAGGTGTCATCTCACCATGTCAGCATGTTATTCCTAAATTAACTTGATTGATTTGGGTATGATTAACCCATTTTTTAGAAAGAAGTTACATATTCCAAAACTGCGTCTTTTGCCTCTTTTACAAAAGAATCTTTGACAGCTACATGTATAGAATAAAGAATGGAAACGGGGAATGTGTCAAAAAGACAACAACCCAACCAAAATATGCAAGTCAACCCAAGGCCACCAATGGGTCTTCAACACAGCGAGAAATCCAACACCCAGAGGCAGCCTCGAACAGGCCCCGAAACACAATGCACACTAGATCAAGAAAATGGACGCCATTCTATGCTCCGAAACATATAGATGAACCAAAATTAAAAAATATACAAGACTAACAAAGGCTAGAGGTTCCTGACTAAGGACAGACGCAAAAATGCGGCTGGGTTATACAGGTTTTATGAGCGCTCAGCCTTCCTCCTTCACCTCTAACCAATGTAGACATTTTAACTAGTAACTTAAACGTCCACGAATTTGAGTGTCACTGCCAAAGAATAAATTTTGGGGTCCCTAACAAATATTGCCTCTGCAACTGCCCCAAAGAGCCCACTCTTAACGAAATCTTCAGAAGGGGTCTTTTACATATATGTACTATAGTTTAGTTGCTGTCTCCCTTTACGTTTAATATGACGGTGCTAGCTATGAAATTTAATAATAATTAAACTACAAGCCATCCGCTGTATTTCAAAATGCTTTCTGTTTCTTCAGAAAATAGTTTGCGTAGTGATTATGTAAGCAATCCATTCATTTGTTGCATGAGACTCAGATGAAGTCCAAACAACAAAAAGAATCAACAATACTGTATACAATTGTATAAGCAATCATCATTCAAAAATGTTAAAGAGGTGCACCAAAAAATTAAAATAGTTTTCCCCATTTTCACGCAACTCGACTTTCGTAGCTCGCAACTCGACCTTCGTAACTCGCAACTCGACGTTTGTAACTCGCAACTCGATCTTCGTAACTCGCAACTCGACCTTAGTAACTCGCAACTCGACTTTCGTAACTCGCAACTCGACCTTTGTAACTCGCAACTCGACTTTCTTAACTCGCAACTCGACTTTCGTAACTCGCAACTCGATACTCGACAACAAGTGAGTTACTTATTCTTTCACTATCATTTTTGTCGAATCATAGCCTTGGTATCAAAATTAATAGTTAACGGACGACAACGACAGACTCCAAGGAATGTCAAATTCTCGAATGAACCGACTGTCTAGATTACATAAAAATTGAAAACAAATCAACATAGTACTATTTTATTTATGTTGCGCATATGTTAATACAGAATATTTGATTTTTAGTGTTAATACGGTATGACATTTAAAAGGTTTTATAAATAGAATCAACTTAATTGGATACAGAGTGTAATACACAAAATTGTAGATCAATAACAGTTACTGTATTTATATAACTTACCTATAAAGCCCTGTGCATCGCGTTTTTCAGCATTTCTAAAATTCCTTTCAGTTGTCTTAGTCCTTTTGACAATATAAACCGGAAAAACAGCAACAACTGTTTAATGACCTACTCCCTTCGTTAACGTCACACTTCATTCACACAATCAGTAGATTTGTGTTGAGTTATTTCTTCTTCTCAAACTTAAATACATTGGAATGTTAAAATTTTGAAAATATGTTGAATTTATATAGACATTATTACATGAATGTAATCAGAGATTGTCAAAACATTCCGAAAGGTACGAATTCGGAAAGCCTCTGAATACTTTTCTGTTGTCAAACAAACATTTTATAGTCATGCATTTCAACCTTTGGAACAGATTCGAATACATTTTCTGAACGGTTTTTATATAATTGAAATTAAAAAAAAAATCAATAAATAAAATTTTTACAATAGGCTATTAAAGGGGCACTAGCTACGAGATATATAAAAAATCTAAAATATGATTTTTTTTTTATCAATCATTAATGAAAGTGAAATAGTGAAATAATAATTCGCTTTTAGCAGCCAGTATGGTTCCATTTTATCAAAATAAACTAAGAAACATTGATGATGAATTATTCACTTGCAAGTGAATAATTCGACCTCATTGAATCCGTATTCATGTGAACTTCAATTAAACCCCTTAGCTAGAGATGGATAACGCATGTATTGTGCGTGTTGAGTTATTTAAAGGAAAAGAATGTCAACATTGAAAGTGAAACAAAGGTAACTCATTTGATTAACTGATTCGATCCACAAAAAATCATTCTTATACAGGTAAAAACGATGATTAACATATATTTTTAATCTATAATATGAAATTAAACAGACCTAGAAAAATCCAACTGCACGAGTTCGTTAATCTATTTATATCTATATTTATGTTTATATTGCATATATGAACATCGGAGGTGTTCGGAGGTCAACTCGATAGTTAATTAGATGGCGTCTAGACTAAAATACATGTACGAAACGAAGCTATATATTATCGAGCCCATGCCCTGTAAATTGCTTATTTTAGACTTTTTATAGTTTGGATAAATGTTTTACATTGTTATAAATCAAATATGAGAGTTTGAGTGAAATCGGTGAACATGAATTTGACAGCTAGTGCCCCTTTAAAATGATTTTTTTTTATATTTGAGAGCGTCATTGTTATAGCAATCAGAGACATAAGATAATACATTCTATTCTAGATACAAGTATCTAGGTATAATTTTTAAACCATCTTAATCTTTTACTACAGCAATTTCTAAAAAGGCTAGCTTAGAACAACTTTTTTTAGAACAACTTTTATTTGATCACTCAGACACAATACATACGTGTAACAAGAGGAATACAATATTTACATATATATACAAACAATACAAAACAATGGTGGGTATAACAAAGGAAAAAACATAAAAAATACATTTTTAAACAATAATTTTACAAAATGTTCTTAAGTTTAAAAATTAAAAAGTGTTAGATTTTTTAACACTTTAACATTACTTAGTGACAATAAGCCTATCTTTTTTTGATAACATGGATATCTAGTAAAGTAAATAGGAATATGTTTGTTTCGTATTTTTACGACTGTCGGAAACTGACACTCAAAAAGGTAATGAAATTCAGTGCCAATTCCTATATGACATAAGTGGCATATTCTTTCTTCTTTTGGAATGTTTTTCCACCTTCCGGTTTCTATGGGTATTTTTAAATTACAACACCTCAATTTTGTTAATAATTGTCGTTCTCTTGGAAATAATTTTAGAAGGTAGTTTTCCAGATTAAATTCTAATTCTAATTGACCATAAAATGTTCCTCTTGATGAATTTTCTATTTGGCTATACCATTTTTGGATGAACTGATCTACGAGCCTTTGCTTTACAGTAACTTTTAATTGGACTGAATTAACTGGAAATTGCTGAGTCCATACATACCTGAGTCCCGTGTTATCAAAAATAGACTTTAAATGATTTATCCACTTAAAACTAGTATTACCTGATTGACTAAGCTTATACATTACTCTATATAGCACACTGCTTAATTTGTTTTGGTTAACAATAAGTTTATTCCAAAAACAGACCATTTTTAAATTAATAGCTACCTCAATTGGAGTTCTGCCAAGTTCTCCATAGGACATGAAATTAGGAGTAGTGGTTCTTAACTTAAGTATATTTTTGCAAAATTGTAGGTGAATTTTTTCTATCATCTGAATGTTTTCAAACCCCCACACCTCGCACCCATAAGTCAGGATGGGAAGTATGAGGGTATCGAATAAGCTAATCTGTAAATCAACAGGTAATGATATATTGCGTATTTTTCTGTATAAACTGAATAATGCTTTTTGCGCTTGCTCGACTAATTTTTTCTTGGCTTTAACAAAAGAACCATTGTAACTTAAAATTACTCCTAAATAAGAGTAAGAATCTTCTATATCTAGATTATTGCCAAAAAGTTTAAAAATTGGGTTATGTTTGGATTTTCTCTTGCAAAAAGTTACAACTTTCGTTTTATTCAAGTTCACTTTCAACTTCCATTTAGTACAATAGGCTTCAAAGATATCCAAAGCGTTTTGTAAAGACTCCGGTGTTTCTTCAAGAATTATGGTGTCATCAGCATAAAGCAATGCAAATAATTTGACATAAATATCAAGATTATCAAAACATAAACTTTCAACTTTTTCTAAGCTGCAATTATTATTTTGGATAAAGAAATCTTCTAGGTCATTTAAATAAATTGCAAAAAGGAAAGGAGACAGATTCTCTCCTTGTCTTACTCCTATTTCGCACATAAAGAATGCAGAACATTCTTGACTGCTTTTTACACAAGATTTAACATTATCATATAAACTATGCAGTACTTTGAACATTTTCCCAGTTATATCTGCATTTTGTAACTTAATCCATAATGAGACTCTAGATGTTGTATCGAATGTCCTTGAAAAATCAACAAAGGTACAGTATAATTTTTTGCCAAGTGACTGGTAGATAGAAATTAAAGCATACAAAGTGAAAATATTATCAGTTGTGCTATATGATCCTATATCCTTTCCTTAAACCAGTTTGAGCTTCTGTTATTAATCTTATCTCATCTGACAATTTGCTAAGTCTTTCATTCAGGATAGCAGTGAAAGTCTTACTCAAACAAGACACTAATGTGATAGGTCTATATGAACTTGGATCATATATATTACCTTTATTTTTAAAGATTGGTAATACCTTCATACCAAGAGCTTGGTATTTTTCCGGAATCTAATATTATATTAAATAGTTTGCAGTATATAGGCATCATAAAGTGAATTGTATTTTTTATATGTTCGTTTACAATATTATCATATCCAGAGGCTTTATTGTTTTTAAGTTTTTTCACAACAGCCAGAATTTCGTCTTCTGTAATTGAAGAATTTAGAATATTATCAATATTCTCTGGAGGAATTTTATCAAAAATAATATCATGTTCTTCATCCCCATCAGCATTCTCATTCAACTTTTTAAAATATTCATAAAAAGTATCCAAAGTAACCTAGTCGTTATAACTAGATTTGGGTTTGTCAGTATTGTTTAATATTTTCCATAAGCCTTTAGGATCAGTCTTATATTTTTGTCTTAGAGTATTAGCAGTTTTTATCTGATAATCTTGAAAATGCTTGTTCATCTCTCTTCTGTACTCTCTACTTGAATTCTTTAATGAAGTTTTATTTAGCTGACTTTTTAAATACCCATATTTCCTTTTAGCTCTGTGAAAAATCTTTCTTTTCGATGCACATTTTGTATTATACCAAGGTTTGTTATTAAATTTCTTATATTTAGAATTTTTACATGTCTTACCAAATACGTTAGCAGATGATTTTTTAAAAATATCACACAAATTATTCACAACTGTATCAATATCAGACTGTAATATATTTTGTTTTAAGAGTAACTCATCTAATGAAGATTCTATATTTCTAATATTAGTTTCTTCATTTACTCTTACGTGTTCTATAAATTCTGTTTTCTTATTACTATTCCATTTTATATTTTGGTTTTGTGTAACAATGTCATTTGTTTCATTAACAAAGCAAAGCTATATTTTGTATTAGAAAATTATTATTTTCAGAAAAGATGAATCTACTACCACATTTAAAGCTTTTTGATTCATGTGTTAAACCTATTTTATTATATAGCAGTGAAGTTTGGGCTACTGTTAGTTTAGTGAAACAAAATACTACCATCGAGTAAAACTATGCAAACTTTAGTCCAAATAAGATTCAAATCAAATTTGCTAAATTTTTATTGGGTGTAAATAAAGGTGCTGTTAATAGTGTCGTACTTTCTGAATTAGGTTTATTCCCACTTTCATTGTCAGCCCTTAAAAATACAATTAATTTCTGGCTTCATATCATTAATATGAATAGTGAGAGTATGGTAAAGAAAGCATACAGTGAAAACTTTAACATGTCTAATGGTTTTTGTAGTAAAATAAAAGTGTTATTAGGTAAACTTGGTTTTCAGCATGTTTGGGAAAATCAAAATACTATGTCAAAGACAAAATTACTTTTTTCATTTCAAAAGAAATTAGAGGAGGAATTAATAAAATCCAGGAAACAAGCTCTTTTTTGTGACTCTAATAAAGATAGTCATGGTAATAAACTAAGAACGTATCGCAAAGTTAAAAATAATTTCGAATTAGAAAAATATCTCCTACTGGACCTTAACAAAAGTGTTATTTCTAAAAATGGTAAAAATTTGAATAAGTAATAGCAAATTACTAATAGAAGTTGGTAGATATACTAGAACGCCTTTAGAACAGAGAATTTGTCCACTTTGCAAGGATGGAATTGAAGATGAATTCCATTTCCTCATTAAATGTAAAGCGTTAGAATTTAATAGAAATATACCTTTTTGTAATTTAAGTTATAAAGTTCCATCTTTTGTTAATATGTTTGAACAAGATAATTTTAGTTTCATTCTGAAAAGTAATGATACTGACATTTGTACTGTATGTGTAGCTGGAATAAGCGATATTTATGATTCGAACATTCATTGAAAGCAAACCTAATGTTGTTAAGAACTGTTGCAGTATTAAAGCTTATTGTAATAGCTTGAATTAATAATATAGTATGAATAACACCACCACGCAATGTAGATATAAAATATGTGTCTCTTATCATTGAGAAAATATGTCTCTGTATATTTGTTTTTGTTTATTTTTGTCTATTTTTGTATTTGTATTTTGTAAATGTCAGCTGGTATCATTCCTGTATTGGAATTTACACCAATTAAATTATTTGATTTG